AAAAAAAAAAAAAAAAAAAAAAAAAAATATGTGTATATATTTAATAACTATATATAATGAGATATGATATCATTAAAACTTTAAGTTAATAAATCTACACATAATTTATTTACTCTTGTTACTTTTCAATTATAAAATAACTTGCCCCAGCCGGTAAACCGCAGTTGAACCGGTGACTCAGAGGTCATTTTTGCCGGTCAGGTTTGAAAGCATTTACATTTTACACTACAACTGCAATGAAATAATTAAATACACAAACACACACTCAAAAACACTATAAAGACTTCCAAGCTGCAATAGAACAGAATAGATCAAGAATAAATTAAATAATGTACTAGCATAAAAATTTTTAAGCTCCAAGAATTCTAAAATTAACATTGGAAAACTTGAGCTCCAAGGCTCCATAATGTACACAAAAAAACTATGATTTTCATCATCTTCAACACCAAAAAGGACTTGAGCTCCAAGGCTCCATAACAAAAACGAAAAACTCTCGATTTTCGTGATCCTCAAACCAAAAGAAGGCTCCATAACCAAGGCCCCCCTCTCTTACATGACAAGATGAACAAAAACCAGCAGTTTCAGAATCACATGCACGTCTTCTCGTAAGCTTCTCCATGCTGATAAAATATTTAAGGTTTCGAAGCGCTGAAACTGAGACGGGTAATGTTCCAATGAATTTTCGCAAATTTACACCTGTCCAGGAATAACAGTATTTACATTAGCCACTTGAATAAAGATATTCCCAACTCAATCTTGACTCTTAACCCAACCGATTAAAAACGATAGCAGATATTGTTATTTTTAGAAGTTACAAATACCTCTTAATATGCTTCTACTATACAAGCATGAGGCATAAGGGTGGGGAAGTGTTTGTAATTCTGAGAGATAACTGTTTATTTTAAACTTTAAAGGGATATTTTTGTACTAACTGTCGAACGAACACAAATTAATTAAATGCAGAACGATAGTTTGCAGTCTTACCTCAAAACTCCATGATACGCAACCAAACGATATTTACACAAAAACAAAACCTGTAAAAATTTTGAACAAAAATTACTGCTTCTATTGTAAGAACCCTTTAAAAAAAAGAATATAAATTTGCAGGGGCATAAAAACATCACATGGGAACTAAAATGGCACAAACCTTTCGAAAAGTAAAGGTATTATACAACAGCAACCAGTTACAAAATTGGAGCTTTAGCATCATGATAGAGTTGACAAGAGTACATCTGTCACGCATTGCTATCTGAAAACCAAGCTGCCATTTTGTTGTGGTCTCAATTTTTCAATGAGGGACTGGTAGAAGGATTTCAGTGCCTTGGAGTCATTTTCCTGATAACAGATTACAACCCATTAAACCATGCTATCTTTATAGAAACAGCTTACGGCACAAACACACATAGGTTAAAAAAACAAGAACGTGGTATATTACGGGCAAAGGACAGTTATCTTTCTAAATTCTGACAACCCTTGATAAACACTACTTACATGGTTACACAAGTGTTTACTAGACAAATATCCTCTCTCACCCCAATAAATAGAACAGCTTATAGAATAGAAACAAAATATCAAAGGGGACATTATTTATTGTGAAAGGCAGTTAGGCATTCTTGTAACTGGATGAACGCTCAAAGTTTTTTTTTTTTTTTTTCCTATAATCAACATAGGAATAAAAAGCCTTGTCAGTTGTGAAAGTTAGTATTATAACCTCAAACTTGTACATGACAGCTTGAGTCGTCATTACCAATGAACTCAAGCCTTTTGGTTATCTTGCTCTTTATGCAAATGCCGATAGTTATGCATGTCTAGGTTTGTTTTCTCAGATAGTATGTAGCTCTTCCTTTTGGGCCAAAAATGCAGATACAGATGAGTGGAACTTAACAAATTAGGCACTGATTGTGAAAATTTTAGTCCAAATCAAGAAGAAATCACAAACCAATAATGATTACCTGCAGCTTGTGGCAATACTGCTCTGCCAAGTCTTGAGGGCAGTTAACGTTTAAAAATCCTTTCGATACAAAATTATTAATAAAGTCGTTGCCAAATTTCTCATACATAACCTGTTGAGCGATTACAATTTCACCAAACAAGGCCACCTGCCAAAACGAAAAAGAAAAAAAAAATGGATTAAATGTGAAAATAGGAAAAATAAAGAAGAAAAAAAATACAGTTGGAAAAAAATAGGTATTAAAGCTCTTAAAACATCAATATATAGTTTTTAAAACATCAATATATACTTTGTCCGCTAATTTCAAGTAGAGAACTGGTCATGTGTTTGCTCATGCAAAAGTTCATACACCAATGTAATCACACAATCTATTCAGCACACACACATATATTATTTTACTACTGGGAAGGTGATCAACTTACAGTATTTGCATCACGAAATTCAAAGGATTTGTCTAGCACACTGTACAGACAACAGTTCACTGCAAATGCTTCAATGATGAAACTCTGGAACCCAGGCACCTGAACATCAATTTTTTTCTTTAGTATAAACTATGGAGATTGACCCCCTGTATTAAGGATAATCCAACTAAGAAACCTTTTCTTTGCCATAAGAACCAGTGGTACACCAATCTTTGATAAGCCTGATGAAAATCTGAACACAAGCCTGAAAATGTAGGAACTCCAGATGTCAATTTCATCTCGATTCTCATACTTAAAAAAACAGCTGATCCAAAAGCACAATTCTTTGAAATATTTTGCTTCACATGTAAAGTCTTAGGGCACGTACCTTTCTAAGAACGATGTCCTTATGATTACAACATGTGTATAATAGCAACTGCATCATTGGATCTAGGTATCCGCTGCTGTTATGCAACAGGAAAACTGACGAAAGTCCATGCATAGCAGTAACATGTAGAAATGTAAAGAATATTTTCTGTAGCTCCTGCAATTCGCGGGTTTCCTGCGAATGATTACAATGAGATTAACAGCAAAGTTGATTATGAGCTGAATGGAGAGATTTGTACAGGAAATTAACAAATGTATAAAGCTAAAACAAGTTTAAGACAAGATGACAGGATCAAGAAGTTCCGCACACCACTGAAGTCATAGGAGGTTAGAAGGCTGCTTAACTGTTTCACCAACTAGGGGAAAGCACAACACAAGTGTTATGAGGGGGTCATAGACTTATGATGACATGAATAAGAAACTTAGATATATAGATTGAAATATAACATTATAAAATAAATCATATGTTTTTGGTTCGAGGTCACTCATAATGATTCAGGTATGTTTGATAATCAGAGTCCTTTTCACTACTCTTAGCTCCCAGCTAAGGAGTGTGCACAAACTCATTACAGTCGCCGAAAAACATATCTTCCACACATGTTCGACTATATTACCAAGTAATACTGCATACCTTATTTCTAACTCGAGAGCCTTGATATGTATTTATATAACACCTAATCAACTAAAAGTTTAAGAACAAGTTCACATACCTCAGCACAGCTGCCTAGTCCAGACTGAATATCATTCCTTGGGAGGATATTGAAGACCCTACTTGCAATTACAGGGTACACTTCGTCCAATATACCACGGACCTCAGTTTTAAATTTGCAAATGAGCTGGTTAAGCAGTACAAGAAAACCCACCAGTTCCTTTGGCTGCAAAACAAAAATGGATCATTCAAAAAAGAAAATTGACGACCTAAAATTTACATCGTAGGTAAGGTGAGAGAAAATATACACCAACATAACTTTCCTTCATGACATGATCAACAATCAAGCTATGTAATCAAGATCAAAAGCTAATTCCATAAACCCAATTTCACACTAAAAAAGGTACTAGCATTAAAAGTGAAATTAAGCATATGTTGACACCCTAACTCATGATACTGTGTTCACATGGCAGCAGTTACAATGCCTAACAAAACAGAATTTTATCCTATTTGACTGAATATTGTACAAGTTTGCAACAGATCGATCAGATAAATACAGTGAAACATAAAAGAGAAAAACAGTACATCAGAAAAGTAATTGATATGGGCTATAATCAAGACAAATCCAAATGGGTCGAGTCCAACAAAGTCATATATATGGGCAAGAGAATTAATGAAGGATCGACATGATTATAAGAGGTTTCAGGCAAATCTTTGTACCTCACTTTCCGTCAGAAGCTGGCCCAGTGCATTAGGAAGATATGGAAAAACAGATGCCCCTAAAGTGTCCACCATACGGTGAATGAAAGATGTGATCTGGAAAACCAAACTGTCAGTGGGCAATTTTTTATTATTTTTATTTTTTATTTTTTATTTTTTGCAAATTAGCAATCAGGCCAAGATACACGAATTCATACCTTACACCGCAAGGGTTCTATCTTTGGAAAGACAACAAGTATTTGCAAGAGAATATCCAAAGTCTATATCAAGGAATCAGATCAGTAAAATGTCGAGCGATTAGTATAAGCATCACAATAATGAAACAAATAAGAAAGATCACAAGCTTCAACATCTTAACTAAGAGGCAGGAAGACAGCCAGGACAGAGAGCGAAGCGAAGGTGTGCTTCAAAGAATGCATTGATTTGTGGATGTGCATGTGTGTTTTTGTGAGTGAGAGAGAGATGAACAGGAATATGGTGATGCCCTAAAATTTTCAAGAAACTCAGGAGGTCACCACTCCAAACTAACAAAATTACGGCCGACGATATGGACCAAGAAAAGAAAAAGTAATGAGTAATGTGTACTTTGACAAAGTCGAGACTTGTAATAACCTTTTTGAACATGAGACCGATTCCAGGGCGAGTAGCAGTTGTAAGGCGCTCGTTGAAACCCTAATTCGCACAAAAGACACGTACTCAAAGTAAATAAGGATGCAAAAATTTATAAACTTAGATGTAAATAAGAATATAAGCATAGTCCCAGGCCATAAAAACTACAAGCTATACTGATAATAAAACATAACTTTCTCAAGGCAGGCTTGCCTTGAGAAAAATAAACATAAAAAGGAAAACAGTAAAACAATACCACAAGAAGAAAACTAGCCTGAATAAAATAAAAGGTGATACCTTGCTAAGAGCATTGATGGCCATAATTATTTGCTGAATATTCTCAACTTGCGCAAGGGACTCTTCGGGACTACAAGATTTGGCATTAAAGAGGACCACCTCAACCTGTATGCATGTGAATTTCTATTTCACACTAGCTTCTCTAAAAAGGGAAAACAAATGATATATGCTAGAAATATTTTGCCTGCTGACAAAGAGGAGTGAGCAGAGCAGAAAGATATTCGGATTGCTTCTGAAGGGGCACATCTTCCATCCCAATTAACAAGCCAATCGCCTGCATAATCACAAGCACAACAACCTCATATGGACTAGTTGGAAGGATTTATTATTTAACTAATGAAATATTTCTATTCATAAAGCAACCTCAAAAATATGTGTTCCATCCTCAGATCCAGAAAAGTTCTTCACGGCACTGCCCATACTTGGAAATTCGGCAATTGTATCCTGTAAACTCTGATATCCAATATTCACACAATGAATAAGAGATAGACTAGCCATTAAAGCAAATGCAGCAACAGCAAATGCAAAAAAGAAAAGGGGAAAAAGAGAGGGAGAAAGAGCGAGAAATCCCTACCTGCAAGATTGTCTCGATGTAAGGAACGAGCTTCGATTTAAGCAACTTCACGGCCCTCATGAAAAGATAACTCGCCCGCCGGCTTACATTCAAATTCGGATGGTGTATACCTCTCTCATCAAGGAAGGCGCGTAAAGTCATTGGAATATACTGCGTGTTCTCAGCCACAAACTTAACATATCTTGTTATAGTATCCAAATACACAAGAGCAACAAGTCTGTTGTGGTGTGAAGGAAATTTTGTCGACAAAAGCATCGGTACCAATTCCCCGAGCAGGCCACTGCCAGTCCTCGTGGCATCATCGCTCCACGACTCCCCTAGCGCATAAAGTAAAGAGAGACAAGCTTCAACTTCCTCAGCATTACTATCCTCCGAGGACGAAACAGCACTGACCAGCGAGTTTCTGATGAACACCTGGGTCAGGTCAGGGGCCACACGACCCACATTCCGAAGCAACACGAATAGATCCTTCCGAAACTCCACCATCCTATCCTCCTCTTCCCGCCCGATTTTATCCAGAACGTCCAGATTATTACGGTACATAGGGTCAAACCTGATCTGGGAACGGATCACTTCCAGTATCTGGCTCATGTGACCCACCTGCATCTCAGTCAACGCAGATAGGCTCTTCATCGTGCCCACATAAACCGAAAGAAACTGCACGATGCTGAACGCCGCATCCACCTCACAATGCTGCATGATGTGGAAAACGGAGGGCAAGACTTCATTGAGAAGTTCTACTGAAAATCCTTTACCGTCTTCCAAGCTCAGACGTTTGGAACATTCCAGGATTTCAGTTGCATACCCTGTTAGCAAAGAAGCTATACTCGTGACCAACTCGGAGTCACTATCCCCTGCAACCAGCCTAAAGACCCTCCTGACCTGAAGGCTCTGCAATAAAGCAAGTTTTGATTTACAATCCATTCTCTTAGAAACCACTGCGTTAACAACTCCGGCTGCAGAGGCTCGAAGTTGCTCTGATAAACCCTCGCCCAACATAAGCTCAAACAACAAGCCAATAAAGGCATCATTAGCTACCAACCCAATGTCGATCCATGAAACAAACCTCCTCATAGAATCCAACACACCAGAACACAACTCCGGATCCGAATTTCTATAAGTTAAGACAATGTCATACCAGACCCCCACGATCTGAGGCACACACTGTGCCCTCATTGCATCTTTAATCCTCCCAGAGACTGCCACATCATCCCCACTTCGTGGATAGTCCATGCTAATCAATTCATCATCAAGTGCATTTAAAACCCGGCAGAACATATCAATGACCACAGCCCCTTTGCTCAGATTCGGCAAGAAATCGACAAAAAATGATGGCCAGATTAATGGGTACTCAAAATAAATTAATGTCACCACAACCTGAGCAAGCTTGTTCTTTATGAATGCTGGGCCATCCACTGTCCTCACTGATTCGGTATTATCGACAGGGACAGGTTGGCCACATGCCATGGAGAAAACAGAATTCCTAATAAAAGACTTCTCCTCCTCTGCCATGGAGGAGTACTTAATCCGAAGCACCTCGTGGAGGCACTGTAAACACCAGAACTGGACCTGAACCAGCTTTGTAAAACACAGCTTTTCTAAACATATGCTACAGAGTGATGGGTTTTCTTTAATTTGCTGGATATAAGCCACAGCTTGCTGTTTAAGCGCCGGATTAACCCCGCCAGATTCATCAAAGCTTATTAGAATCGCCTTATCCAGGTCATCCATCATTCTCCCAAAAACCCTAATCCCTATGGCGATTCAAAAATTATTAAAAACTCTTTTTTAAAAAAAAAAAAAAAAAAAAAAAAAACACCCCTGATTGCTCACTCACTCACTCACAGGAGTTCTAACTTCTGGCGATTCAAGATTCCATTAAAAGAACTATTGATCAATCCATCTAAGCCTTCATCTGATTTACCAAACGAAGATATCCCTTACCTTCGACTGAAAGGATGTAGGTTATAGAACTGTTGGACAAGGATCTTCAGCAATGGTGCATAAAAAAGGCTAAATAATTCGGTTCCCGATGCGATTAGGGTTTTAATAAATTCAAGTTCAAAGGGTGTACGTTGATGCGCATATAGATGCGCCTGCAATGTCTATTTTTATACAGAGATTCTTAGAGAGAGAGAGAAGGAAGTGAGCGTGTAAATGGAGGTGGCGATGGGGTTTATGTATTTGTTGGCAGTGCTGAAGGAAAAGAAGAAGATGGAGGTTTTCTATTTTACCCTATTTTATAGCCCCCCACTAACCCTCTTTTTATTTTTGGGAAAAAAAAAATCTTTATAGTTTTAACTAGTGCGTATCCCGTGCGATGCACGGATATATAAATTTAGAGAATATTATAATTTGACATGCATTAGGATATATGAGAGTTTAATACATACGAACATTATTCATCATAAAATGTTCGTCACTAAAAAATCTTATATTATTAAAAACCTATTTGTATACAACATATGAGTTGGATTATTGTTTAACTCGTTGTGAGGAGCACAGACCGACTCCGGCGGACGCGGGCTGCACAAAGGGCTGCGGAAATTGGGCCTCACTCAACTGGGCTCCATTGTTGGGCTTCTATCCTGGGCTGTAGATGCTGATTGTTGTCGCCAAAAAAATTGCCCCAAAGCTTGGACAATTTTTCTAATTTCCAACTATATTATTATAAATTATATTTTATTCTAAGTTTAACTTTTTCATTCCTATTTTATGAAGATAGTTATTGTACTTTCCTAGCTATACTAATAAAGTATATTTTAGTTTGAATCATCTAACTTCCTTAGTAATGAGTTGAATAATTTATAGATAGAAACATAATTTTAATGATTCCCTCTAATTTCTCTCCCTCTCCCTTTTTCATATTTCATAGTATTTCACAAATTTCTCCAAATAAAACAAAAAGTTACTTACAACAATTATTAGGTTGACCATCAAATAAATTAAAATAAGACTGTAAATAAATGAAAATTATTGACCATCAAATAAATCAAAATAAGACTGTAAATAAATGTATAATTTTCCTTAATAATTTCTATATTGTTTTGAAAATAATAATTGCAATGTTTCAGGTTCAACAAAAAATTGGTTTGTTTGTTTTTTATTAATTGTTTATGAATAGGCTATCTATCTTAATTTTTGTTCAAAGTTGGTTTATTTTTTATTTTTATCATCAGATATATCATGTTAATCATCATTGGACATAAGCTCATAGGATTTGATGATAAATATGCATTTAGATTTAACTTGTGCAATATAAATGTAAAAAATACAGAGAATATAATAACGCTAAATTTAGTTTATTGGACATGTGCACAACAATGAGAAAAATATGATTTTCTAAATTAAATTTTCAGGATAAATGCATTGCCAAATTATAAATTTCTGCAAGCAAGGAGCTTGCTCTAATATATTATTCGAGATTTCAGTGCCGATGGCTGTTTTTTTACGGTAATGCAAGTAGAATTTGGGTAAAGCCGAATGGAAAACGTTTTTGCAAATTTGTAGATGAGAATGAATTTAGAAGAACCGTATTTATAAGAATATGTACATTATTAAAATCTGAAAACAATAAAGAGTCCCAAGAGTTGAAAACCGTGTAATTAATATTTAATTAAACATATAAATTATCGATCTACATATCATAACTGATATGTTTAATTTTATAATACCATATAAGTTGGATTTGTTTCCAACCACTACATCTTATAATAACTGGTATGTAGAGATTTTCATAATTAAAAAAAAAAACGCCAAAACTGAAAAAAAAAAGAATCCCAAAACTTGGAAACAATATAATTTTAAATTTAATTAAACATAAAAAACAGTTATAAAAATTATAGTTGATTACAAAGTATGTTTAATTTTAAAATTCCATATAAATTGGATTTGTTTACAACAAACAGAGGTTATGTGAAATTATAACTCTAATTTTGTTTAGATATCTAGAATATAGAACCCTTTAAAAGAGTCCCAACAGATGGAAACAATAAAATTTTTAATTTTTTTAAACATAAAAAATAGAGTAGAGCTAATTAAAAAAATATATAATTTTATATTTCCCTTAAAATTGGGATTCTTTACAAGAAAACAAAATCGTGTTACTAACTTATATGTTAGGTAATTAAAATTAAAAATGTATCCATAAAAACACGTGCTTAAAAAATTGTAATTATTAAAAAATAGTTTTATGTCATGTCAAAAAGTATTAATACACGTGTTATAAAAAAAAGTCAAATATCAAATATAATTGTTTTTATATATTTTCTGAATAAAATTTTATGCAATATTAAACAAATTAAGTGAATAGTAATCATTAAAGTGAATAGTATTCATTATAAGAAATTGAGCCGCATTTTTTGAGAATGTTTATACCAAATTAATTTCTGAAAATCTCCCGCATTTTGTGGGCATTTAATAGCTGAACGTGAAAAAAAGTAAAGGGAAAAGAAGTTGCCATTAATAGTAAATTATTAAAGAAGAAAGAGATTTGACCAAAAATTGACCTGCCATTTTTGAAAAATGGTAAATCTTTATATATATATATATAGATATGTTTTTACATTAAATTTAACTTGATTAATTTTGGTATTTCATATTCCACTTACTAGTGTTTTAAAACGCGTATAGCGTAATGCGTCGCGTTTTGGTCTTTATACTACGTAGTGTGAATAGCATTCCGTGTTGCGTAAGCTATTTGGGTATAACATTTTTTTTATATATAGAAATAGTACAATTATATTTGCATATAATGAAAATATATGGTTTATTACAAAAATTATCATAGTATTTGAATGACTTAAAAAATAGCATCTAAGGATTAATTTTCACAAATGTTTAATGTAAATATCATGATAATATAAATATTTAATAATAAATCGAATAAATTAAAAAGTAAAAACAAACAACGAAAATATAATGAGGTAAGCCATAGTATAATTTTACGTATATGCATTTTAATTATTATCACTTTATTTAACTACAACTTAATTCTAACCCATTAGATATAAACTTTTTATTCTTTATTTAAATGTTAAATATCAAAAATTAAATAATATAACAAAAATAGACAAAAAAATATTGCAATATTCAACTTAGGACTTTGCATTCTCAAACTTTTAATTTGAAATTATTATCAAATATTTTAGTTTTTTATTGTCATTTGCAAATATGACTTTGATCCCTAGAAAAAAAGAGCTTTTGAATATTTTATTATTCAGATGTTGTTGCAGAAATATAGCGCAATGTAGCGCACGATAGCGTGAAATACTGCAAAATAACGTAAGAAAGCGTGCCGTTTCAACATTTCGCGTAAGCTTTTTGGGAAAAAACGCTAAATATATAAGGCTACGCGTTTTTCCGAAAAAAAGCTATATAGCGAGCAATAACGAGCTACATAGCGAGTTATTTAAAACAATGCCACTTACTAATTACATTTGGTACTTTTTGTTATTTAATAATGAAGATTAATACAATACTCATGCATTGTTTGTTAAAAAATTATATTTAAAATAATTAATAATAATAATATTTTTTTTATTTTTAAATACTTTTTTTGAATAATTATAGTAATATTTATATTTAAAACAACATTCATCACTTATACGACTTATCATCTTTTATTATAATATTTTTTAAATTATATCATTTCACAATTTTGTAATTAAGTTGATTTAAATAATTTTATTTTTTAATTAATATTAATAGGTAATTTAATTTTATAGTGGAGTCAAATTTTATATACAACAAGTAAATCATACCATATTAATAAAATTATTAGTATTTATTTAAGTAATCAGAGAAGAATTATTAGTATTTATTTAAGTAATCAGATTATATGGTATGATTTACTTGTTGTATATAGAGTTGCAAACGAACCGAACATTCGCGAGCAAAAGCTCGTTTGAGCTCGTTCCTGTTCGACAAAAGCTTGTTCGTTTGTTAATCGAGTCGTGTTCGATCAAAAAATAAGGCTCATTTAATAATCAAATGACACGAGCTCGTTCATGAACGTTCGAACAACCCAAGCTCAGTTTGGTTTGTTTACAACACTAGTTGTATATAAAAGATTGGCTCCACTATGGAGCCAACTGTTGACTTCATTAAAGACTTAAAATCGAGCTCGGCTTGATTGCAATACTATAATCAAAAGAGTTTCTGATTTTTTGTAAATACTAACATAAGTTTATATTATTAAATTAGGCGTAATTTATTTTTTTAATAAAATAAAATTTACAATGTGGTATACGATTATATGTTAAAGATTTTTTTTTTTTTAATTTGTGAAAATGAAAAAGGAACAGTCTAATCTTGCGCAAAAATAAATAACAAACTCCACATTTAAATGCAATCTATTAATATATAATAAAGATTAACATAATTCATTTTTAAAAATAATTTTCTGCCAATTTTATTAATTATTGCCTAAAAATAGTAAATTAACAAAATCTCTATTTATTAACATATTTTTTTATCCAATTTTTTTTAGGATTACAATAACAAATACGGAATCAAAATCATAATAAATCTAAGAAATACACTTACCATACTTAATACATTTAATTTAAGAAATACACTTACCATACGTATTTTTAAAAAATTTAGAATACAATAAAAACGTTTAATTAATAATTTTCAATTAAAGTTTCTTTTTAAGAATCAATCATATTTCTAATAATTGTTAGAAATAATTTATACATATATATTAGTATTTACGTGAAAGTAACATGTATGTTACTTATATGTTAACATATATGTTAACATCTATGTTAATCCTATATAATAAGGATTAACATAAATCAAATTTAGAAACAATTTCCCGCCACTTTCATTAATTATCTCCTAAAAATAGTAAATCAGATTTTTTCCTTTTTTTATTAATAACATCAAATACTTTTATATTGGTAAACAATAAGGAATCAAAATCCGAATAAATCTTCTATTTTTCCAAACAATTTGGAAATCCGAATGTAAATCCGAATAAATCATGATTTTAGAAATCGTGATTTCCAAACAATTTGAAAATCTGTATAAATCTCCAAGGAAAATCATGATTTGTATATATCATGATTTTAGAAATCTGTTCAAAATTTTCTTTGCATGAATCTGAATCATAATTCATTCAGCCTATTATTATATTATTAAATTATTTGTAACCGCATGCTAAGATTTGTATATATCAGATTTCTAAATCATGATTTGTGTATATCATCTTTTCACCAATTAGACCTTTTTCTTCATTATCGATATGAAAAGGAAAACAAATTTTATATACCTTATCGGTTTTGATAATACAATGTTATAATCATTATCATTATTTATTTTTACAAGATAGTGTTTGTCATTTATTTGATTTCAAAATATGGAAAAATTTTCATAGTTTAGGTCTCTTTCTATTTATGCATTTACACAAATTAATTTAAAAACTCTAATAACGATTGGCAATAAAATTTGTTATATATTGATTCAAACCAACTAATTAATAAAAGAGTCCATCAATCACGAAATTAAAAATAACACACGATCACTACATTTCAAAGATTAAGTTATTTAGATAAATATTCATTTATATTTCATGACGATAAACAAGAGTGAGTGTCAATCTTATAAATTTGATGTTTTCAATTGCTATATTTCCAATGGTTTTTTACCATAGGAATTTTCGTTTGAATATGCAAATTCCGTTGGAATTTTTATTTCTACCCCGTTGAAAAATCCACCGTTAGAATCGTCAAAATTCAACGGAAATTCCAATGGAAAATTCATTCTAACTGAATATTTGGATTAGCAACAGATTGGTGACAGATGGAGTTCCGTCAAGGTCAACATTTACTGTACATTGGCATGTTAAGTAATAGATCAAGAAGAGTCAAGGTCAACATTTATTGTACGTTGACATGTTATTAAAGAAATTCATTTTTAGTCACGGACAATTATGTTGTTTGTTTCGCGTGTAAATAATAGAAAAGTGTTGAAAATATTAGTTTGTGGGGATGACGGGTTGCTCAGTTATTAAACAAATAATGTTGTGTGCAAGAAAGTTTAAATAATAGTATATTTTTTTGCATGAGAAACATTTTATGGTTTGATAATTTTCCTACGAATTATCACTCTTTTATTTGTTAATGCATTTTCATTTTTAATATTCTCCAAAGTAAATACAGTCCGTGCATCGCACGAGTTACATACGAGTAATTAATGATGCACATTTGTAAATAAAAAATGAAATAAAACTTGCTATTAATAGCATGCAATTAATGTTCAACTATATTTGACCACAGTTTGACATGTCATTTTTAAAAAATGGTAATTCTTTTTATATAGATATAGATTACATTAAACATAAATATATTAATTGAGAAATAATTTTATTTTTCTAATTAATTTAATAAATATTTTTATTATTATTAAAAAATAAATAAAATACAATATGGATGTCAAATCGAAATTCATCAAAAGATGATTAATTTGATATATTATATTTGTAAAACTGATAATAATTACAAGAGTTATCAATTTTTAAAATACATTTACAATTCAATGATTATAATATGAAATAATATTATAATACAATTAATACATTTAAAATGATCATAAATAAATTAACATGATTATGGTAATCGAACCTAATTGTTTTTGGATGAGAATTAAATTAAAATCTATCCGCCAAAAACCATGAAATTTTGACACTTAGGATCCCGAAGCATGCGAGCCTGCCATTCAAACATATTTGAGAATTATATATAAAAAGGGCATATATTTATTTATATTAAATTTAAAATGGAAAAGTAAGTAAATAGTAAAATTGAATTGTAGGGATAAATTTAAACACACATTTTTTTATACGCATTGTTTCGAGGATATGATGTCACCATTAAATTATACAATTCAGTACAAATAATAAATATTAATAACTTTCAAACACGTCACGATTCAAATAAAATATAGGGGCTTCTGATGGTTAGAAAGGTGATTGGAAATCAGAATGTATTGAATTAAATTAATTAAACATTTGGGTTAATATATAATATATTAAGGTATTTATTTACCAAAAAGATTTTTTCCCTTTTGTTTTGCCGATCAACAAAATGATATATGAATTATTAGTTAACGTATCTACCATATAAATAAGGGAAATGTTACGATCCCGTTACAGATTTTTTGTTAGAGTTTGTGATCATTAGATCATCTATCTTCGACAGTGGTTACGACTCGACATAATAGTTCCGTATCAAGAACCGTATCTAATAACACTTCCACCTCAACCCGGTTCCCTTATGTTCCTCGTCCGGTTCAAGCTCTCGAAGGCCTGCAATGACGCCGGGAGGTGCTCCCAGCAGTAACTCTCCGACGCTCAAGTCAGTAAGGAATAGAGGAGTATAAGAGAATCGTACGTAACTGTAAGTAGGGTTAGGGTTTGTAGAGTGTGATTAGCCTTTACCTTCCCCTTCTTTACCTATATATATCGAATTACTAGCTTGTCCAGCACGCCTTTGTCTCTCCTCCGCGAGATCGTTTATCTCCTTTTGATCCTAACGCTCCACGTGCCCCTTGTGGATCAATTTGATAACTGCAACCCCTACTTGATTCTCAACCCACTTATAGTTCTAAACCATACACATAACCGAATAGTAATTGGGCCGAGCCCATCCACTACTGGATAAGTGCATCTATTCGGCAAATACACTTGATCGAGCTATGATTGGGCCGAGCCCATACGCTATTAAATTACTAACATATCTGCTTGGTCAAGTCACTTCAAAGTCCACCCACATGTAACCTAGCTATTGGTGGGCCGCGCACATGCGATACCAAATTACATCTGCTCGACCTATAAACCGAACAACCATTTGTCGGTTCACCAAGTCGCGACTATATCCTATATCAGTATCCCATACCATATCTATAAATAGTGAATAATAAAGAACTAAAAACATTTTTTTTGGAAACCACGTGCATATAGCAAATCAAACAAAAGCTTGCACCGAACACAATAATTGCCGCACCATGCTGGTGAATTTTTTATTCAGCTCATCCAACTACTATTATTTTTTAGTGAACCCATTTAATTATTTATTTTTTTTAGTACACACCCTTTTAATTATTTGATTATACAATTAAATACTTTTAGATTGTTATCTCAATGTACCTTCTGTGTTGTTTAAATAATTAAAGAAGGGGAAGTCTCTATTTATTTTTAAGTAATTATTTTGTTTTCATATTTTCACATGAATGAAATTTATGTGATTCTTTCAGTTATATTTTGGGTCTAAATTTTCAGTTTTTATATCAATTTCTGTTCTTAAACGAAAATTTTCCCCATAAAAAGAAGGTAAATTGAGTTACCACTCTTTGAAAATAGATATGCAGATTACTAAAAATGCAACAACTAAAATTGAAACTATTAAGTCTAATCAAGGTACAATACTGATCAAACAATGAGGCTATCTTTATGGGAGCTATGTTTAGAATAAACTAGGCATGCCAAGAGAAATGCAAACACAATTGTAGATGCAAGCCATTTGTGACTAGCTAGGGCTGTAAACGAGCATAATCGAGCTTGAGCTCGAATCTTAAAAAGTTGAGCACACGAGCAGCTCGTTTTATTTGACAACTATATTTGTGACGGGTATGGAACCGTCACATGGAAGCGGCATGGAGACCGCTGCCTGAACAATTTTCACGGAATGGACCTCGACGTCTGTAATCAAAAGATACAAGGCTCGAATTCGTGATCTGCAATAACGAATTGCAGTAGCGAATCGACTCAACCTCCCCTGAAGCTAAGCACACTCCAGGACTTCTGGCGATTTTTTCTTAAGGTAATTAATCCCTTGATTTTTTATTAAAAATGTGCTATTCGTTTTGCGTGGGAGTAGGTTTGGATAAAACAAGGTGGACTTTCTTCTATATTTAAATTGCACAAGAACCTCAAGAAGTTAATATGTATTGCATTGAGTGAGGAGCAATAAAGCTTTGCTTTCTATTGCTTCACCTTTTCTATTGACAAACGGATTTGATCAACGAATTAAAAGTATTTTGAATCGGATTTTCAAATGCTTAAGTAAGGTTGATATGTAGATTTGTCGTGGGAAGAATCGGACAGAAAGAAGTGTAGAATAATGCAAGAATTTTGATAGTGTAATAGCGGGCCAGGTCGGCTAATACTATTATAGCTCGGACTAAATAGTATTCGGCCGAGTCTTTCATAAAATTGAAGCATTGGCAGGGAAGTATGCTTAAAGGTGAAGCTTGTTCATAACAAACCAAAAAAAATAAAAAATGCTAATGCATTTAAAATATATGGTTGTTTGGATGTTATTTCATCAGAAAATTCAAGAATTGTTACAACCCTTGGTGTGTTCTTCCCATGTTGGATGATTCTCGTCAGGATTTGTTTCAGCTTCATTAGATTTTGTTCGGGTAACGCATAGCCAGTTTCTTGAAGGCTCGTCGCTAACTTCACCGGCTATGGGCACGTGCCATGATCCCTTCTCAGATTCCTGCAAATTAGGAAAAAAAAAATCTTTATGGGACTATCTATCTATCTCTCTCTCTCTCTCTCTCTCTATATATATATATATATATATATGTATGTATATATATAAACTTTAACCGTGTAGTGAAAACTAAGAAACGAGTTATATGACCTGGATGACAACAGAATATGAAGGTGGCATGATAAGCTTCAGATTGCCCTTGGTGAATGTATATCTAACCTGAAACAGAAAGTTAAAAAAAAAAAAAAAATCAATAAGTTACTTCATGGACGAGTGTAAAGAGCAAAGTGGATATCATTTTACTGGTTCTACTGAATTCGGTGTTTGGTGGAGGCTCTAAGCTCTCAATGAAATGATAGACAACACTATCTATTTCCTGTTGTATTACTAAAAAGAATATCTTACAAGAGTCGAGTACTATGCAGTCTCGAATGGTTTATGAATTGAATTGAAATTTAAGTGATCATCAAGTCAAATCTTCAATTCTATCAATCAAATAATATATGATGAACATCGATTCATTCAGTATTCGTTTTTCTGATTTAAATGAGTACTGTTTAAGAAAAGAAATCAAGGAAAAACGTTCTTATGTCAGTCTGATTAATATAAAAACCACCACAAGAAACTACCTGATGTCTTTCTTTCCATCTGAAGAAAAAATTGGTGCCCAGCAGCTCAAATATATGATCCCTCATTTCATCATTGGTTACCAACAAGCACTTGAGTTTCACAGCAGCATAAAGCCAATACCTGAATATGATAAATGAAAAAACAGAGGGGTTTGGAAATTAAAATATTAATACCATGAACGTAGCTTAAGCTTATTTTCAACTTTCAAATATTTCACTCTAGAGCATATGAAGATGAAGTGCGGTTTGATGTTTCAACAAAACGACAAAAAGAATCCGTGATGATTACTGCTATGTTCCATAAGCACAAAGAGCACAAAACAGAGGAAAACGACATGTCTTGGTATTTTTAGCAATCAATTGGATATAAACTATAAAAAAAAATAAAAAATAGCAGGTATATAATTCAAAGAATGAAATATACCAATCATCGTTAGAACCATATGGCGTTCCATACAGCACCCCCTGATCCATCCACTCTTCAATCAATTTCCTTCTAGAAGCATCCTCAAGAAGCGACCGGACACGTTTCTTATGCAAGATTACGAGCGGCCATTTATTGCTCATGCTATGTACTTCTTTCACAACGGCCTCAAGCTGCTCTATATGAATTTAGAATGAAAACAGGAATGAGAAGCCAATATCTTTTTCATTTTTCACTTTTTTTTTTGTCGTCCTATTTTTTTCCAAATAAAGAAAAAAGGAAAAAGTGAGTAAAATTAATAACCTGAGCAGCACTAAAACCACCCTCAGCAAAGTTCTGTTGGTACAGTCCAATATTTGCCCCATCAATCACAGCCTCGTATTCAGAATTTTGTCCCAGCCAATCCTTCAAATTTCTTAGGCAAAAATGTTAGTATCCAAATAATATTAAGTGAATTTCTTTTTGTCACAGTAAACGTATGTAAAGAAAAGGAAAATAAACCTAAACCATTAATTTCATAATCCTGCAATTTTTAGCTACCACAAAACAAGAGATGGGGTATGTATTGCAAGTACTTAGAGCAACAAGAATCTGGACACCTTATACTATCTCAATGAAAGATATGAAGTTTGAAAATTCAAGGGGGATCCTGTCAGAAAAAAAAAA